ATCATCATCATCAGCATCATCATCATCATCATCATCATCATCATCATCATCATCATCATCATCATCATCATCATCATCATCATCATCATCATCATCATCCAGTGCCAGGTCTGTGACAGACATCGGCGATCATGGTTCATAGTTCTCCATTCATTCCTTTGCTCGGATGCTCTTAAGAAAGCTACGTTTCCCTGATTTTTCCCCGTTGCCCACTTGTTTAGGTTCCCTAAGAAGGTTGCTCTGGGGATTCCCCTGTCTCGTTTGCCTTCAAATTTACCAGTGAGAGTTAGATGTTCAAGACATTTATGCCTATTCAGGGGTCATAAAAACTACATTTTGTTGTTTCCCGATTGTTTTCAATATTGAGCGTCTCACGTGGGCTTCACCAAACATTACCTCATTAGATTTTTCTACCTTCCACAATATTCTCAGCAGTCTTTTAAGAAACCACAATTTTGTTGCTTCTATTTTACTTTTACTGTCTTCACTGATTGTCCAGCTTTCACAGCCGTATAGAAGGGTTGACCATACATAGCTGGAACATCCTACTGCGGCAAACCGAGAACAGCGAGGTGTGTAAGATTCTGGTTGTAAAATCTGCAGTGGTACCCCAACAGTCAGCCAAACAACGGGATAGGTGAAGGTGAAGGGGAAGGAGAGGTGAGGGTGAAGGTGAAGGGGAAGGAGAGGTGAGGGTGAGGGTGAAGGTGAAAGTGAAGGAGAAGGTGAAAGTGAAGGTGAGGGTGAGGGTGAAAGTGAAGGTGAGGGTGAGGGTGAAAGTGAAGGTGAGGGTGAAGGTAAAAGTGAAGGTGAGGGTGAAGGTGAAAGTGAAGAAGAAGGGGAAGGAGACGTGAGGGTAAGGGTTAAAGTGAAAAAGAAAGTGAAGGTGAGGGTGAAGGTGAAAGTGAAGGTGAGGGTGAGGGTGAAAGTGAAGGTGAGGGTGAGGGTGAAAGTGAAGGTGAGGGTGAAGATGAAAGTGAAGGTGAGGGTGAGGGTGAAGGGGAAGGGGAAGGAGATGTGAGGGTGAGGGTAAGGGTTAAAGTGAAGGAGAAAGTGAAGGTGAAGGTGAAGAATAAGTAGAAGGTAAAGGTGATGGTGATTGTGAAGGTGAAGGTGATGGTGTTGGTGATTGTGAAGGTGAAGGTGATGGTGATTGTGAAGGTGAAGGTGATGGTGAAAGTTGTGAGCCCTGACCAAAGAAGAACAGTGAACGTATGTATACAGATAAAGGGTTATCAAAACTGAACTTTAAGGAACTGGTAAACGTTGGTGGTTTCCATAAGCGTAGCAGCAATAATATCTTGAGAAAAAAATAAGGATGAACTTCAGAAATCAGTTTTTACCACTCCAAGCGTCGGGATTGTGGTGGGGGTAAAGAAGATTTGTATAATTATAACGGCTTTTTTTTTTAGTAGAGGGTTTTACGGCCCTCGCAACTGCATAAGGTCATATGAGTGCTTAGGGGTGGGTGTCAACAGAGAAGTCCTTACAGGGAATCAG